TATATATCTTCTTCTATTTAAATATCTTAATCTTCTTTTTCATTGTCTCATGTTAATAGTCTCAGTCTGAGCTTCTTCTAACTTCTACTAGTGTGCCCCGATGGCCGAATGATTAATGCGGCCACTTAGTAGCACCTTGGCGTGGGAAACCAAGGCGCGTGGGTTCGAAACCCGCAGGGAATACATTAAATCCAGAACTCAAGCACCTCAGGTTTCTAATAAATACAGAGATGTATAAATCACTTCAATAAATCACTCTATGTTCCTGAGCTGAGAAGTTATTATCACATGTATCTAATTGTCACTTCTTTGTATTTTCCTATGTTCTTGTTATCTTGATGTGCCCCGGTGGCTGAATGGTTAATGCAGCCACCTGGTAGTGCCTTGGCATGGGAAACCAAGGCACGTGGGTTCGAAACCCGCAGGGGATACATTAAATCCGGAACTCAAGCACCTCAGATTTCTAATAAATACAGAGATGTACAAATCACTTTAATGAATCACTCTATGTTTCTGAGCTGAGAAGTTATTATCACATGTATTTAATTGTCACTTCTTTGTATTTTTCTATGTTCTTGTTATCTTGACATGATCTTAACACCTGTATTTCCTTCTGTATAATCAATACTTAACCTGTATTTAACATCATGCAAGAACTCATTATAAGCTTCACTTGTATATAAGTATAATGAAAGAATAATAATAATAATAATAATATTATCTTAGTATGATCTCAACATCTGTATTTCCTTCTGTATAATTAACACTTGACCTGTATTTAACATCACGCAAGAACTCATTATAAGCTCCGCTTGCATATAAGTATAATGAAAGAATAATAATAATAATAATAATAACTTCTACTAGTGTAGTTAATCAGTCTGTCAGAATACTTAGAACAGAATCATTCTTATTAACAGAGTCTTCAGACTTTTCATATATAACAAGCTGTGTCTCATTATTTAGAAGATAGATTGAATTAATTACACTCTCTAAGTTCTCATTGATAATTATCT